CGCTATAGGGATCTGAAGAGGGAAGCGAGACGTATTTGCCGCAACAAGAAGAGAGAGGCAGAAATACGTGAGTGCGAAGAGCTTGAAATGCTGGCCGACAGGAGGAATGGCTGAAAATTTTACCAGAGAGTTAGGCGACTAACGGAGGGTTTAAAGACCGGGGCCCACTTCTGTAAGAACAATAATGACGACCTACATAGTTACTGATGTCCAGAGCGTACTTAAATTATGGAGGGAACACTTTTCCGCTTTACTAAATGGTAGCAGCAGAACCCGAGCCCGCAGCCGATGATGATGGAGTCGACGTTCCACCGCCTGACTATGACGAGGTACGTATAGCAATAACGCGGCTGAAAAACAACAAAGCCGCTGGAGCTGACAGCCTGCCAGCTAAACTATTCAAGTATGGCGGCGAGGAGTTGATAAGGTGCATGCATCAACTCTTGTGCAGAATATGGTCAGATGAACGCATGCCCGACGACGGAATTTAAGTGTGCTCTGCCCAATCCACAAGAAAGGTGACCCCGCCATTCGCGCCAACTACCGCGGGATCAGCCTTCTAAGCATAGGTTACAAGGTCTTATCGAGCGTATTGTGTGAAAGACTGAAGCCCACCGTCAATGAACTGATTGGGCCTTATCAGTGTGGCTTTAGACCTGGCAAATCCACCATAGACCAGGTATTCACAATACGCCAAATCTTGGAAAAGACCCGCGAGAAAAGGATCGACACTCACCTACTATTTGTCGACTTTAAAGCCGCTTTTCACAGCACTAAAAGAAGTTGCCTATACGCTGCTATGTCTGAATTTGGCATCCCCTCAAAACTCATACGGCTGTGTAAAATGACGTTGAGCAATACCACCAGCTCCGTCAGAATTGGAAAAGACCTCTCCGAGCCGTTCGCCACAAAACGGGGTTTCAGACAGGGCGACTCCCTTTCATGTGACTTCTTTAATCTGATGTTGGAGAAGATAATAAGAGCTGCAGAACTGAACCGCTCAGGAACAATTTACTACAAGAGCGTGCAATTGCTGGCTTATGCCGATGACATCGACATCATCGGTAACAAAAACCGCGAAGTCTGTTCTGCCTTTTCCAAGTTGGATAGGGAAGCAAAGCGCATGGGTCTGGTGGTAAACGAGGACAAGACGAAGTATCTCCTGTCATCAAACAAACAGTCA